TGGGGGCACAGCTCAAAGTCGGTTTACTACACATCAACGATCAAACCGTGAATGATGAAACAGTCAATCCATTTGGTGGTTTCGGCTCATCAGGAAACGGAACGCGTATCGGTGGTCCTGCCAATGCCGATGAATTTACCCAATGGCAGTGGATGACCGTACAGGCTCAAGCGCCGCATTATCCTTTTTAATCAATTATTACAGGAAGTAATCGTATGAACGAAATGAAAGAAATTATTGCCGCAGTGACGGCATGTAAAGGTGCAGACTTTGAATTGCAAGCGCTTAAAATCCGTCAGCCTCAAGGCGATGAAGTACTGGTGAAAGTGGTGGCTACAGGTATGTGTCATACCGACTTAATTGTCCGCGATCAATATTATCCTGTACCACTGCCTGCTGTTCTTGGTCATGAGGGCGCAGGGATTATTGAGGCGATTGGCCCGAATGTCACAGACCTGCAAGTGGGTGATCATGTGGTGTTGAGTTATGGCTATTGTGGTAAATGTACTCAGTGTAATACGGGCAACCCTGCTTATTGCGCAGAGTTCTTTGGTCGCAACTTCAGTGGTGCTGACCTAGACGGACACAGTGCAATTTGTACGCATGATCATGCCGTCGTACATGATCATTTTTTTGCTCAGTCTTCCTTTGCGACTTATGCGTTAAGCCGTGAAAATAATGCAGTGAAGGTCACTAAAGAGGTTCCACTTGAACTACTTGGGCCTTTAGGCTGTGGTATCCAAACAGGTGCGGGCGCATGTATCAATGCCCTCAAAGTAACACCTGCGAGTAGCTTTGTGACATGGGGCGCCGGTGCAGTAGGTCTAAGCGCTTTGCTTGCAGCAAAAGTCTGTGGTGCTGCAACGATTATTGCTGTCGACATTGTCGAATCACGTTTGGAGCTGGCTAAACAATTGGGTGCAACCCATGTGATTAATAGCAAAACGCAAGATCCTGTGGCGGTGATCAAAGAGATTACAGGCGGTGGAATCAACTTCGCGCTTGAGTCTACTGGGCGACCTGAAATCTTAAAACAGGGCATAGATGCACTCGGGATTTTAGGCAAAATTGCAGTGGTTGGTGCGCCACCTTTAGGCACTACCGCTCAGTTTGATGTGAATGATTTATTGTTGGGTGGAAAAACCATTTTGGGTGTGGTTGAAGGCAGTGGCGCACCGAAGAAATTTATTCCTGAGTTAGTCACGCTGTATCAACAAGGTAAATTTCCGTTTGATCAACTAGTAAAGTTCTATGCCTTTGATGACATCAATCAA